CGATAAAATAAATGTGAATGAAAATAAAATAAAAATGTCTTCTGATGTTTGTTATTTTTTAACTTATCTTTTATTGAAAAATGTACAAACATAGGTGACGGTGACGGTGTGTGCGATAGACGGCGGCTAAAACTCGGGAACCGAAGGGGAAAACGGCTCCGTTTTCACACCATCGTCAGATCTGTTTCATATTTGATTTCTCTCACCGTCAATCCGGATTGTTTCCGACCAAATCCTTTGGTCTATTTTTTCTTTGTCCTTTTCCAAGTAAATTAGAACAAATAGTGCCCAGCTAGACACGGTTGATGGGGAAGGATATATTCCATCAAAACACAAACAAAGAATATGTTTAATATACCACAAAAAAAATAAAAAATAAAAAAAAACTAATGGAAGAAAAACACCAACTGAGCCTAAGCACCCCAACTCTCACAGGTGTTCAAATAGGCAGATGTGTTCAGTGTCGGCTGGGAAATCAGATGCACGCAGGCTGGTGTGGCCGTCAACTGCACAGCGCCTGTCACACGGGCTATTCATATTCATATTCATTAATATTCATACCTGGCTATTCATCCTAATTTGGCTTTTCTGAATAAGGCAATTATAATCCGCAGCAAAGGGGAGCCGCAAAAGTACGATTAAATTAAAAATAAAGAGACAGTGGGGAAGAAGATCCAGAAAATATGAATTATTTAAACTAGCACAATCATTAAATCGAACTAAATCCAGATTCAGTCTAACAGTGTCTACTAACCTCTTTGCATCATCTCTTCGGTGGCCTTGTACGGGGACTTCCTTCTGTAGGGGCTGCTTCTGGAGGTGGATCCCACATGGTGAAGCTCAGAATGATAGTATCTATCATCAGATGCTGCTGACGACAGAAGCATCCGTGCATTAAGGAATAGGGTTGTCAAAAGTATCGATACTCGAAAAAGTATCGATACTAAAATGTTGTATCCGGATACGATACTCATTTTCAAAAGTATCGATACTACCATACCCCCTTCTCTCTGATTTACTTATGTATTTATTTACGTTGTTTATGATCATTAACGTGACGTTAGCCTTGCTAGCTGCGGCTAATGGCTAATAATAACATGCTACCATTATACAAGTACATATCTAACTCCGCCCACATCCAAACCGGACGTTTTGATTAGGTCACCAATAGAAAGATCCCAGGCAAGAAAATCGTAATTACTTCATGGCAATATAGACATTAATTTAAAAATAGTGAAAGTAATCTTGCAAACACTGAATTAAACTCTATCCATAATATTATGTTAAAATAGTGGATGTTAAATAGGTTTGTACAATAGGTCCAAACAAGTTTAACCAAAATATTTATTTCTCACATTTATGAAGGCTGGAGGGATAGGGTTAGGTTCAGGGTTAGGATTAGGGTCATTAATGTGGGCCACCAGTCACGATAACATCAGTAACAGGTCAGTTTGAGATGAAAGACACAATTCAGTTACATTTTAGGGTCTTTTTTTTATCCTTGTGGTATCGAAAATGGTATTGAGTATCGAGTATTTTCCTGAGTATCGGTATCGAGTTGAAAATTTTAGTATCGTGACAACCCTATTAAGGAATATGAGAAAAACAGAAAAATATTAAATCCCTACCTGTAAGTTTGATATGAACACATCTGTGAATGGTGAGTGATTACCAAGTTTTTCATTGCTCCACATTGGAAGGTTCCACGGGACTCCTTCAATAATTCTTCAAAGACCTCTCCATCAACTTCTGTGTCAGATTGGTCAAATACCTTCATATCTGGCTCCCTACCTTCTGAATGTTACATTTTTGGCACGCTGAAGTAAAGGAAGGAAAGGGAAAGTGATGTTAGAGCAACAAGACCATTTAGTTCAGATGAGAATCAAATCGTAACCAAGTAGACTGATGTCTTCACAAAATGCCATCAAGTTGAACCTTAAGTTTGTAGGTTATTCCCATTTAAAATGCACAGCAGAAACAGTTATCAACTCAGGGGTTATGTTTTACGGTGAATTAGGCGTAATTAACCAGGTAAAAGGTTGTGATATTGTGTTATCCTGAATGTCCTCTCCAACTTTCTTCCATGAAGGCTCCTAATGTTAGGTCAGACAGCCTGACATACTTCAGCTCCCCACCAAATGACACAGCATATTCTACTGAAATAAACAAAGGTAAAAGAAAGACAGACACAAAAGTTGAGCAATGAGTTGCCTATTAATGCTTAAATTGTTCTATTGAGCCCACTTACCAACTATGGTCCATGCTTTTGCTCACATCTGCTTGATTACTGTTAACAAGGCAAATGCATTTATTATATAAATATATATATCTAAATGTATATTTAAATATGTATTTATAGACATCTATTAATTGAATGCTACATTCTGTAGCATGGAGGAAAAAGACTGAATTTATACTATGCCATTTGCTGAACTGCCACAGCATGAACAAAACCTGACAAACACAACTTTACAGCTTTATTCCTTAGTGAAAGCTAGCAACAGGAGGCTAACTGGCATGTGAACATTATTTGTCTTTGTGTAATATTTAAGGCAACACCTTGGCAACTTCAGAAAATGGCTAACCGACCAACTGACTAACGTTGGGTTTACTTCTTAGCTTCAAGGTAATTTACGGTTAACGATTAGCATAAGTAACAATTAAATAACTTACAACGTAACCATAAGACAGACAGCCTGTATTTATTCGTGAACCAGCATTACGAAAAAAGACAAGCATTTAATGGTTCAGCTTGACTCGAAAAGAAATGTAGAACTTCTGAACTGCTAGCAGGTTGCTAACGTTAGCCGTTTGGGACATGAGAGCCACTCCACAGAAGAATGGGCAACATTTCCCCAATCAACATACACGAACCGATACCCGTGTTAAGATGGAAAACAATTCTTAAGCAGTGTTAGGAACACCAGCATGTTCATAATATGACTTACCCGAGCCAGGCCCGACTCCAGTTCAACCCGCTCCAGACTACCCTCACGTGCCTCCGGTGCTAAAGACCTGACAACTGGCGCGTGGTGGTCACTGTGTTGAGTTCAGGTTCCACTGCATGTCTGCGGGATTTGACACTGACTTTAACTCTGCTCTTAGAGTGGGTTTACTCTCTATACAGTTGAAAATCCTCTATCTAGGTTAAAATAGATTTACTCTGACATATTGACACCCCTGTTTGTTACTGTGAAATTGTACTTTGCTGCTCCCCTTATTTGCTGTGGATTATCATTGGCTTATTCAGAAAAGCCAAGTTATGACCAGTCCACTGCTTAGGGTCCCGCGTTTTATTCTGGAGCCAGCGGCTTACTTTGGCTGTGTTGTTTAGGTTTAAATAGCCCGTGTGACAGCTTACAGCCACCAGCCTGTGTGCGTCTGATTTCAGAAATACCCTGAATGCATCATTTGATTGCTGCAGCTGTGTCACAGCAATAGAGTGAGGAGCTTTAGCTGATCTCTGCTTAATATTATTATTTTTGATTTTTGATTTATAATTATAAGCAAATTGTTTGGAGGGCCTTAATCTAGTCCATCTATCACCCTATCACTGAAGTAAATGGGATCCTGTTGAAGAGAGAGAAGGGCCTGAGTCGGAGGTAAATCTGCCCTGTTCGGTGAGACCTTGTGAAAATGTATCTGTGGAGAATTTTACCCCGGTCTCACCCAAAAGTGTAAGAGTCAGCTGTG